ACCGGTCCCACGGACCGCTTCGTCCAATACGTCCGCTCCCTCCGACACCACCTCCCCCACACCGTCATTCCCGACTGTGCGTTCATCTCCCGCATCAAACGAGKATGCCACAAAGACCTTGCAACCGCCCTCGCCCACGAACCCGACATGCCCCTTGCTGACCTCCTCTCTCGCATGCTCCACCACGATCGACTCCTCCACCCCCACCACCAGACCCCCCCCGGCACCTCCCGCACCCGCTTTTTCCACCACATCACCCAGGAAGACACCACCTCCATCACTTYCTCAGACGAGTTCACCACATCTGACCTCGACGCATCTTTCGATTCACGCGACTCTTCATCCCTCACTTCCGAGGAACTCGATGTTGTCCAGTTCATGAGAATGGAGCGCAAAGATCGCAGCTCCCGACCACCCTCATGTACCCCACCCTCCCGCCTCAAGAAACTCACCCCCGAGGAGCGCACCTACCTCCAAGCAAAAGGGGGTTGCTTCCGTTGTCGCCAATTGGGGCACCAACAAACCAACTGCCCCAACGCCGCACGATTCACTCGTCAGTCCACCTCCACGCGACCTGCAACCTTCACATCACCGCCCTCGGCAAGCGCGGGCCCCTCCTCGTCATGAACACAGTCCCCAGAACACTGACCCGGCTTCAACATTGCATATGTCGGCCTACCCATCAGTGACATCCTTCGTCGCACCGATGGCCCATCCGACATCGACAATTCGTTTGCCTTCCCCCTCTCCGGCGACGCCCCCTCCACCGGACGATTCCCAGGCGTCGCAAACACGTCCCACTGCCTCATGCTCCTTTACCCTTCCTCCAAATGCATCCACTATCACCTTCTCCGATGTTGTTGAGGAACAAGCCCAGCACGATCGGCTTGTCCGCTTAGGCAACGAACAACGCCGCCTCAACACCATCATCTCCACCGCCAACTCATCTCGTTTCCACCTCAAATTCATCGCTGCCACCCTTGGTGCGTCTACAACTAAGTTGCGGGCCCTCCTCGACATTGGAGCCACCGGTAACTTCATCACCGACGCGTGTGTCCGCAAAGTCGGTCTTACCTCTACCGGCTATGACTCCCCGATCACAATTCGCCTAGGGGACAGACACTGCCGTCGTAGTAGACCGCACGGTTCCCGAGACCATCATGACCATCGGAACCCTCCGCAGTCAGGTCTCGTTTGATGTCATGCACTTGATGTGYGACATCGTCTTAGGAACCCCGTGGCTGGACCGCTACATGCCATACGCATTCCACCCCAACTTCCTTCGCCTCACCAACCCCCCCGACACAACCATTGACATCCCCTATCTCCCATATCCGACCTCCCAAGGCTCTGTCACCCCGCACCAATTCCTCCACATGGCTCGCCTAAACCCCGACTC